CCTGGCAAATAACTACGAATAATTCAGCATGGGTAACGATGGTGTCCCAAGGAGGCAGGATGAGGCCATGCAACCTGAATTCCTTCACATCTTCCTCACAACCAAGAGAAGCGTGTTGTCATGCAGCAACATCTGCTCTACTTAACACAAAACAGCATTTATTTATTTATCCAGCTCAAAAGCCTGACCAGCTTGGAGGCAGAACAGTCTCTGTTTATTTGTGAGACTCTCGCTTCTCCTCTGTCCACAAACGCTAAGAAACATCAGCACATTGTTATGGCTCCTCCTTCGACACAGACGTACCAACAGGGTTTGCCTGCCCTAAGGGGGACCCGAGTGAGCAATTCTCCTGGCCCATCCCTCCACAGGGAACATGCCAGCAACTGCCGAACATCCGTTCTGCATCTTAAGCACTAGAGAAAGAAACACCGCCCCAACTTACTCTGAAGCAGAAAACAATTCCACGCAGATCTGTAACCTGGGAGGGTGGTGGGGATACAGACCTTGCAGCTCAGAGGTTATCCAGCTCCGAATCTTTGGGTGTGCGCAGGAGAACCAGACACAAACGCCACCTGCACTTGATCACATCTGCTTCCCCACCGCCACGGCAACACCATGCCACGACATAAAGGAGCTCGGACAAAACGCAGGGTTTCTGGCAGCGCTGCTCAACAAAGGCTAAATCTGAAAAGAGGTTTCTCCCTTTTTATTGTTTTTGCTTTAAAGAATTTGGCATTAACAAAGGCTTGAGAAGAAGGAGGACCACACGCTGGATGCCGAGGGTCTGCGATGAGCGTGTCTGAAAGATGGCAGGCACTTCTAATTGCAGATACACTGGAGAGACAACCACCTAAGTTACAAATACAATCACTGCTGCATGCGCTTCTCATTCAAGCACCAGTGAGTAAATCTATACACAGATGTTGGATTCCTACCAGGGAACCTGAAGCTCCAAGCAGAGAGCTCAAGCAGAGAGAAAGGCAAGTGTCATTACACGAAGCTGAGCGCAAGCAAAACCATTCCATTCCGAGCCTTTCTGCCACAGGATGTGGAGGCTTTACAGACATCATCTTTTGGAAAAGATATTGTTCCAATCCAAAAGCAAAAAGTAAATTAAATGCAGCTAATGCCTTTTTCTGTAGTTTCATGTGCGCCACATCACTTGGTCTTTTTGACCCTTTCTGCAGCACTGCAAGCATCTCTATTTTACTGAAGTCCTCTTCAAAACAAAAATAAAAGACAGAACAATCCAACACATCCCCTTTATTAATTTAGAAAACATGGAAGAAAAGTAATAGGGAAAGTTTTAGCAATAAAAAAGGGACCCTGCTTAAAAATCTATAGAACTTGTCTAGCAACATAAACTGATTTCTTTGGGTTAGAGATGACCCCATACAAAACCCCAAATGCAGAACGCTCACAGTGCAGGAGAGTCTGGCTACAGCCCACTTCTCTACTTGAGGTTAAACTCTTCCCTCGGACTCACGTATCCCACTGCCACCAGCTCCGACGTAAGCAGAACACGTAGCCCTCACAGTAATATTTTCCTTAAAGGGTAACGGATATGTTTCAGCTTTCAGACAGAAAAACACTCTGGGCCATGTTAGAAAGAACTCCAGGGTCACAGAGACTTGTGGCTGACTCTTCAGAGCAAACTCAGAGCAGACTGCACAGCAGTTAAACAAGCAATTAAGAAAAAATCTCCTATTTGGCATTTCTCTTGGGCCTGTGACGCGAGGGTCATTCACCGTTAAGCAGATACGATGTATGCCCAGGGGTTCTGCTTGGCTGAGATGAAAGGCTCTCATGCTCCTGAAGATAAAGCAATGAACAGTGTTGCCAGCTGTCCCTGAAAGGCCTCATCCTCTTCCCATCACAAAACTTGGCTCTTCAGCATCATCTTCCTTCTCTTCCTCCTCCTTGCTATCCTCTTCATCATCCTCGCTGCTGGCTTGCTCTTGAGATTGATCAGGTTCTGAAAACACAAACAGGATGAGTTGGTAACACATTCCCACGTGTCTTCCTTGTTAAGTGTCAGTCTCAGGGGCGAAGCAAACGTGCATTTGGTCACGTTAATTAGTACGGATGGATGACATATTCCCATGCGCCTTCCTCGTTAAACACCTCACAAAGTACTCCCAGACACTAAGGAAACCCATATCAGGTTCCACTAATGCTACTGAGTGATGCAGAGCTCGGAACATCAAATCCTCCCTTGGAGAAATATCCCCTTACCTCCAACACGACCACTGCGCCAAGTCCACCATTAAACAGCTCCACCTCCTGTGGAGCATTATTCCAAAGAGAGATAGTCAAAGGCTGAAGTGACAAATGATCCCATTCTCAGTCTCACCTCGGCATGTCAGAGTGGAGGATTCCAGGATTAAAGCACACAGGCCTGAGAAGCCCCGGGTAAGGCGCAGTGTATTTCTACACCTACTGGAGCCTACAGAAGCTCCAGAAGGTACCATGGGCTCTTACAGACTGTTTAGGATATTGCGAGCACAGGAACTCATTAAGACACGCGTAAGATTAATGAGGGTCACAGAAAACTCGGGAAGCCTTCTAAAAGGCCAGAAAACACCTACTAGAAATGAAGTAACGGATAATGAAAATTAGGGATGGCATAAAGTGGGACCTGAATCCAATAGCCATTCTTCTGCTCCCAGCAGCTCTCGTACCTTTCCTGTCGCCCCGGCCAAGTCCCACTCAGCTCAAACTCTGCCCAGTTACACGCAGGATTTAGGACTAGTGGTCTGATGCCACCGCGTGGTGAAGTTCTGTACTTTAATTTTTTTATTTGGGGTCTGTACAATAATGCAACTTTAACAGCTGACCTTATTTAGTGCCAGCCTTTATTCTTAATGTTTTTCCTACAACGAAGGTGAAAGATGGCAACTCAGAGGTTTTATTTATTCATTCAAAAAGGAAGATAAACACTTGCCTGCCACATCCAACAAATAAACTCCGATTAATTTGGAAACACTCTCAGACCTCAACCCAGAGCACACAAAACTAGAAAATGACAAGCCTGTTGTCAGTAGGCTGAGATGGCTGTCAGTGGCTTCTATCTCCACTGGTATTGTTGTTGTTGTTATTATTGAACTACAAACTGTAAAGAGCTAAGAACTGCTCTAAAGACAGGGGAGTTTGTATTCTGGCTTCCAGAAGATGACTTACTTGTGCTGAACAAAAACGCTCTGGCCCAACGACTGGTACGTGGCAATCCCATCCCACAGTGCCAGTCCCTGACCCAGCTCCCCTCTCTGCCAGCCACTCCCTGAAGGGATGGGTATTCTGTTTTGTTCACTCAAAGTGGACAAAAGTACATTGGCTCATGCTCAGATTCTCCTCCCAGTCACAACTCATAAATAAGTAGCTTTAAAAAAAAAAAAAAACAGAACCAAAACAAAACACAAAAAAAATCTGCTCTGCTACATTCACTTGCTGTCACAAGTAAAATTAACTGAGTGATTAATTGGTCCTCCCATGTTTATACGGGAGGCTGGCAGTGGCTCAGTCGAAACAGATCCAATTCTGAAAAGCAAAGCAGGAATAAGGTAGAACTGCCAGACAAGTCACTGTTCTGCAGAATTATTAGAAACTGTTTTAAGACTGAGAATTACTGCAGAGTTAGAGTGCTAATCCACAAAGGACAGCTGTTTGAAAGAGCAAGCTAAAACATTCTGAAAGCAAGCAACGAGTGCTCAAAAGTTTGGGCAAACAGTCACACTGGCACAGCTGAACACTCATTTTCCAGACTGCAGGAGAACAGAGGCAGTCAGGATTTTCACCTGTGTTTCTGTGTGAAATAAAACAGTCATGTGGAACACACGACACCAGGGTGGCCCGATTCCTTACACACAAAATCGTAACTCAGTTTCTTGCCATCCAAGCTGTGCATTTTTTGCACCTGTTTTCCCAAACACATTCAAAATATTCTTTAAAAAAAAAGACCAGCCTTTAACAATACTGCCTTTTTCAGCAGATGTTCCAAACCTGCAGTTTGTCAGAGTAGCTGGGGCAAAACAGCCGCAATCACCAAACTCGGATTCCAATGTTTGCTGTCCAAAATTTCCCCTAATAAAGGGAAAATATTCACAAGCAGCCAAGTTATTTATAAGATTAAATCTCAACATAGATGGCTTTCAAAGATGGCTTTTGAAACATCAGCTAAAATAACAAACTCAGCCTTCCCATCCCTGTATCGAGGGCGCTCGAGGCCAGGGGTGGGACAAACCCTTCCAGGCTCCAGTCAGGGAACAGATCTAAGTCTTGAGAAAAGAAAACTAAATTTCACTGACCTTTTCCCTGCTTCTTTTGCTCAAGTTTAGTTTTCTTAGCTTGCAGTTTCTTCTCTTTTAACTTCTGGCTATAAAGGAAAGAAAAAAAAGACTCTTTTGCACATCCAACATCATAAAGCTTCTGCACATTCATACACTGATAAAGGATGTATTCCAGACACCTTGGAAAAGCAGACTTCAGAAAAGAAGTTCAATTTAAATTAGGCCTCAACTGAAAACTCAGTGAGAGCAAACTTTGACACATGATCAACAGAAACTTTTCTATGTTGTTTTCAGTCTAATGGATTATTTTTTTAAAGTCTTTCTTGATGCCACTGCAACCAAAACTATAGGATACACAAGAATCTCCAAGAACACAGAAGGAACAAAAATGGAACTGCCCCTCCATTTTAGCTACCTATCCTAATAAACAGAAAAGAGAAAATGGTGTCGACACACAGACTGCTGGAACTGAACATTGGGAAAAAAAAATTAAGTCATCGCCGGTAATATATACTTTAATTGAAAAATAATAATAATAATGCAACATGCTTTGCCCTTCATCTTTGGCTGTAATCCATTGCCATGCTGGGCCCTAGGAGCAACATGAGGAGCAACATGAGGAGGAGGGAATCTCAGTTCACACGACCCAGTCCTGTTCGCCTAGCAAAGGTCACCAGGCAATCTAACAGCAGGCACAGGGCAGAGCCACCTGGGATTCCTGTTCCTCCCTCAACACCATAAAGGAACTCTCTGGAAGCAGAGAGCCAAGCACCGCACCTGTCGGGTCAGGACAGAAGGAGAAGGGCGGTGAGGGAAGCCAGAGGGGCTCCCACAGGGAAAAGCCACTTGGTACCTACACCAGGAGGCTACAGAAGGGGGGCAAGGAGGCGTTAGGAGTGTTGAGGCAGCGTTTGCTGTTGGAACACTTGTTCTCCATCTCAGCCAGGGAAAAGGCAGTGGGCCAGATCTGACGTGCTGGCCATCTGTTGGACCACACCAAATTAAAGACAGCAACAGCGTTTGTGTTGTGCACTTTGTGCTAATACGCCAGCGAGTCACTTTGCAACTCTCAGCTACAAGATGCAAACCCTCGTTCTCAAAGAAGCAGGAGAGGCTGCTCAGCATCAGACCCTCTGAAAGAGCTGAGCCGTGACACCCTGCTCGTTCTGAAAGGTGTGGTGGACACAGACTGCAGAATTTCAACTCTTGTGTCACTGCGCTACAATGCTCAGACTATTTCTGGAGAGCGTCAGTCTTACAAACGCTTCACTTTGTTTAAAACCTAAGAGAAGGATGGGTTTAGTATTTTTTAATTTTTCCATCTAACTTACTGGACTTGACCTGCCAGGCGTTTCGGCGAGGTAGGCAGAAGCGGCCACTGACGTTCACAACGTCACAACAATGCAGCCACCAGCAGCTTTTTCGGCACTCCCAGACTGAGCTGGACTAGCCACGCTGACAGTGCACGGAGGACAGCACCGCACCCCTCCGCGCTCCGCTAGTCCGAATCCACGCGCGTACCCGTTCAGCAGCACCCATTTTTGCACTCCAGCTGCTTGGTGCCAGCTGTTTCAGATACTGATGTAAGCCAGATGCACACACAAACCTTTCCTGGCGTTGTTGTAACAAACCTGCAGTAAGGTGTGTTGCAGTCGGCACCACAGTGTCAGCAAAAGCTGCTCAGCCAGTGAAAAGTTACCCTGCTGGCGGCGGCGCGGAACATAAACCAGGCCAGCAAAGCCTGTCAGGTTACAGCTTCCTTTAGAAACCAAACAACGACATTCAGGAAATTGGTTTGCACAGCCAGACTGCTCAGCTGATAGGTGCACACACAGAACGACAGCGTTTATCCAAAGCATGCAGCTGCAGATGGGGCACGGGGGGCAGGAGGGTTTTCATGTCGAGTCTCCTGGGAACGATCTGCCCTTACCGCTTCCTTCTGCGTTTTGCTGTTTGTTCTTCTGCAATCATCTTATTCCTCTCCAGTTTCTTCTGGAATTCCTCATCTAGTCTTTGCTGTAATTGATCACATGTCATACTTTGGTCACAATCTAAATTAAAATACTTCTTTTAAAAGTCATATCCTGTTACGGAGAAGGCTTTTAGCAAAATACAGAAGGGAGCTTTGCCAGATTTTGCCTGCTGCCTTCTTCATACAAAAGCCATATTCCTAAGGATGACTTCTGTATAGACAGCATTTTTAACCTCCAGCCTGAGCCAAAATTGAAGCCTTTAGAGGGAGGAATCCACACGAAGACAGCTGAGGGAGGTTGGGTTTCTGCCCTAAAGAATGCTCCAGTAAAGAGAGTAATTTGAGACACAAACATTAACATACAGATCAAAGGACTCATCTTGGCCAAGAGAGAGCATAACAACAATGCTCTCCTCAACTAAGACTTAACAGAAAGAGATCCAGACCCTGTGCACAGGCACTTGCTTTGATTCTGTCTGTGCAAGACAGTGATGTCAGGGATTTTTAGGTTTTAAAGCATTTTAAGTCAACCTGAGAACACACACATTCACGTGCACTCCTACTGTGTGCTAGGACCTCAGCGAACGGGGAAGATGGGGCACATCTGATGCACGCAACGAACGTTTCAAAACTGACAAAGATGCCACATGTGACACACTCCCACAGGTTTCCTCTGACAAGGGGTATGTGGAACTGAACGATTTCTACATGACTTTAAAGGAAAAAAAGGGTTTGCAATGAACACCAAATAGTTGTAGGGGCGAGGTGGGGAATTATAGAGTGCTGCTGACCTTCTCAGCCATGGCATCCATGAAATCTTGCCTCTGGTACTCTCGCCGCCGAAGATGCCGGTACACATGAAACTCTCCACTCCCAGCTCCAGCACTGGAACCTGCCACAAAGAGGAGTTAGTCTGCTAGAAAATAACATAACTAGATGCTCACAAATGACTACAGCTAGATGCTGAGGGACACAACACATGAAAGGGCGCTGTAAGATGAAAACCTACTAACAACACCTAGAGTGTGTCACCGTTACAAGCTCAAATCACTCGCAAGCAAATGCCAAAGCGAGCTGCAAAACCCTACACTTGCAGGTCACCGCAGTTCCTCCTGGGCAGTTCCTCCCGAGAGAGAATCCAGTCTCAGCTGGGCACGGAGGCAGTAAAAGAACTAGAGACCAAACGCACACTCCGTTCTCCTCTAAGCTGAGGCTCCTACTGACTAACTTTAAGCATCTCATACAAAAAATAAACAACGGTAACGTGATAAAGCCCACCATATTATACCTTCCCATGCAAGCCAGATCCCACTGACAGTTTGTGACCGTTTCTTCACAAATGAAATCCCTATAGCGCTCTCTGCCTGGCATCAGCCTGCATGCTGAAGCCTCACAGGAGCTTTCAACATCACCCTCCATTCTCTTCCTCTGTCTCCTGAGCCATTTCTCAACGCAAAGCACACAACCACGTGCCTCGAAGAAGACACCTAGTAATTAAAATGTGGCAGCTGGGACTGCAATAGGGGTGCTCTTGATACCAACAGAATCCCAGCACGTCAGGTGCTCCCAGAAAAACAAGACAGTTCAACTCAAGCACAGGGCAAGCTATCTGAAAAATCCACGAGGGATTTACAAGAAGCAGAACGGTTTATTCAGAAGTGTATAAAAGCTTTAGTCCAAGATCAGTTGTTCTCAAATAAGAGCAAGTCAGCCTCTAGAATGGATCATTAAGGATGAAGGTCCCAAAGACAGAACTTCTTCATGCAGACACAATTTATACCACAACTACTAAATTTAATCCTTGCAGGCAAAAGTAAAGCATAAGCAGAACACCTGGGTCAGGCTCCTTGCACAGCTGCCACTCCCCACCTGGCCACGTACAATCACACCTGCTACACGTGCCTGCTTCTCACTGCCCGCAGTTCGGACTTACGGTGGTCAAGAGGGACTTTGCCAAGTTTCCAGAGCACTCTTAGATCCGTGGAACAGACAGATTTACTTATCATCACTTACTTGGCACCACCAGAGCAGGAGTTCACTTCACTGCACGGTGCTGGGGTGCCCCAGGCATTGTTCACTTTGCATTCTGACAACCAGCAGGAAAGTGGGATCCACGAATCAAATAAACTTGAAAAAAACACTCTCAAAGCACATTTCATACCTCTTTTCCCCAGCAAAATGAGCAACAACAGAAAACTGTCTCTGGCCTTTTCTGTTAAATACTTTTCTAAATTTAAAGTAGCTGAGCCTAGAGTTATCTGAAGAACAGTATCTTTACCCATCACATCTCTAACGAACTCCGGGGGAGGTCGTGGTGCCCATTCATTCAGTTTTTCAGGAATTGGTACGGTCTTTTCCTGCAAGAACAAACCAACCAGTCATCAATATCTTCTAGGAACCAAGTCTGCAATTTTAACCCATTGTTGAAAGGTGGTATATGTCTGACAACAGTGTCTTTCATCAGCTGACACATCTCGGAAGGAGCACAGCTGTAGTACTGTCTTCACACACAGGGATCAGGAATGAGCAGGTATCCTCTCTCTCCCGCACATTCAGGCCTGCAGGTCAGCAAACCCCAAGAGGATGAGGAGTGTCTGTGCTTCTTTCCAGCATGGAAACTAGAAGGAAGCAAGTCGACACCACCAAGCACTCACAGAGACTGCGTGTGCTCCCACCATCCGTCTCGGAAGAGGGGAAAGGCACTTGTGGGCCTTCCATGCCAGACCTATGGAGGACAGGGAA